GTAATCTCTTGAATCTCGAAAAAACACATAATATGTCCATTAGACAGATAATTTTTCAATAAATTAGTTATTTTAGTCTCAATGGCACACAAAATATTTCTACCAATTTTAGTTCACTATCAACAATCAACTGGTCTATTTGAGCAATGTCTGCAATCTAATGGGACCATTAAAATAATAAAATTCAGGGACCAGCAATTGGCATAATAGCCATGTCGCTGGACTCCCATGTAGTTTACTGTGGTTCAAGTCCCGGACCCAGTGGCTTAAACTCATGCCGGGTGCATGTGGGTGTGTGCACAAGATCCCAAGGGAAAATGGAGGAGAAGAGACTGCGGCATGGCCATCCCTCCTTGGGGGGGAGGGGTGGTGATTTCTCGCTTTCTGTCTCTCTGTCTCTCTTTCTGGTGAGCACACACACCCTATATTTAAAAAAAAAAAACCTCTCCACAAATTACAATAAAATTCAAATTATGAATTAAACAAAACAATGTCATGGTTTCCAAAATGCAAAAACGGTCACATAAAATACATCATGATCACAGCAAAAAAAACCCAAATGTTTCTCAAGTTTAAATGAAATATGTCTGGAAAATTAAATGTATATGCAAAAGAGTAGAGACAGATACCAGAAGATATGAGGGAACTTCCAAAAGTTTGTAGAAAAAAAAATTGAACTGAAGTACAAGCTTTCTTCAATGCCAAGAAAAGAAAAGAAAAAAGAAAAGAAAAGAAAAGAAAAAAGAGAAAAGAAATCCATGCATAGTTTCTTCATACTATGCATTTTCTGTGAACTTTCTGAAGACCCCTTGTATAGTACACAGGGTTGCAGCTTAGGATGATTCTCTGGGCTTAGTGGTAGTGCCTGGATTCCTCTGGTGTTCCAGTTGTGGGAACAGATGTGATCATGGTCACCACACTCAGTGACAAGTATACTCTGGCAGTGGATAGGGTTTTCTGTTGCCTTCTGATCACTTAGTGATTCATCCTTCTAATCAGTGAAGAAATAATTTTCAGTCTTGGTATCTGGGCTTCTAACCCTCACCCAGACCTACCACCACCGTCTCATCGTAACTCCCCACTTCCCTTTGGACTCTCAATTTCTAGACTGATTCTGGTTAAATATACTCTGGACTTACTGACAAAAGACCCCATTTCTTGGTTTCTAGCCCCTAACTGTAGTTCTCAGTGTTCAAAGAGGACTCATGAGACAGCTTGGTAGTTTCAGACCCAGTCTTTGATCTGGAATTCTGCCTGACTTTTGGTTAATTCTGACCCCTCATCTAATACAGTAATGGTGCTGAAGTCCCTGATAGTTTTGATGAAGCTGAAAGCTTTACAAACACTTGAACCCTTATTTTTGGTATAAACAATGATCTGTGTAATGGTAAAGTGGTGGAAAAAGGATTTTTTCCCATAACAACAACAAAGGACTGTCTTTTAATCTCTCAGTTTAGATGAAAAATGAAAGTTCTATTTCATAGACCCATCCAAGCAGTTGTTGAAACAAGTCTGTGCATTTGTCAAAAGAAACTATTGTTAGTACTTCAAACATTCGAATTCAAATAACAGAGATAATGTAAACTTACTTTAATCTTCTTAAAAATGTCTGCAATAAGAGGAAAGGGGGAAAAGAAGAAACCTTTTTTCCTCTTGATGTTACATTTTATAGGCTATCCTTTGCTTCTTTGCTGATTAAAAGGCTGATTCTGTTTCCTTGTTGATTTAATGAGGATTCCTTTAAATGCCACAGTCATTTATAGAGAATATGCCCCCTGAAGGTTGCCTAAGACGTTACCTCAAAGGCCTGGAAGGTCAGCCCAACATGGTAGCCCTCGGACACCATTATTTTCCACACGCATTCTTTCATTGGTCGATAGTCATCAGGATAATTAGGAGACTGAATCTGTCCTTCATTTTTACGTATCTCACCTCCACAGATCGCTGAGGAAAGCAACAAGAAACAAATGAGTAAACCTAGACGAGCATTTTCATTCACATTTTTCTTCTAAGATAACATGTACTTTTGGTTCCTGTCGCTAAGAATATAAAGACCGGGTCATAAAAATCAAAGTTGGCTGGTTGTACTGTTGTAAATATTTAAATAGTAAAAAACTCTACTCACTTAACTATAAATATTATAGTCTGGAAGGAATATACCATTTTTAATCACTGTTATTTCACATTTTAACCAAAAAAAAGCAGGTTTTTAACTTTTAAAAACCTTTTGCGATTTCATGAATTTCTTCTGTGCCAGTCTGTTTCATGAAAGACTGTTTCACTCAGTCTTTTGAGCGCAGATAAAAGAGCTTATCAGGAGAGAAGCTTCTCCCCCTGAACAGAACTCACTGGGCCTCTGGCAGTGAGTTCGTGTCCTGTGCTCAAAAATCTATGGCTCCATCCCAATCATCCTCTTCACTGCTATGTGGTTAATCTTCAAAACACAATGTTTCCGTTTACTTAAAAGTTTAAGGGAAGCAGAAATCTTCTGTCTTCAAAATTACCTAAACGCCTGTACTAGGAAGAGTCTCCTCCACCCACAGCCTGGCAAGAGAGGAGCCGTTTTCAAAGCCAGGAAGCACAGTGCCAGTTTATTGTCTTAGAAGAGTATAGAACAAAGCATCTAATAAATTCTTCTGGAATGCTGCCTCTCCTATTGAGACAAAGCAAGCTCCAGAAATGTGCGGCATGGCTTTCCATGCAGTCTGCTAGGATGGCATTTCAGCAGTACAGGGAACACACGGGACACCAAATCAGTATGGAGGAAAATGATTATTCCTGCATGATATTTCAGCGTTATCATGAGACAAAGTGAAGTTGATGAACTTTGCACCATTTCTTTTACACACATCCTTGAGCACCTTGAGCTGTTACTATATTTTCGATGCCAGAAAGCCGGTTGTTCTTGCGCTTTAAATTTACTGAGTATTTTTTATATTAAAATCATCCTTGTGGATACTATAACAGGCTCGGAAAATTTTCTATTTATTTATTTATTTTCAGCAGATGACTTTTTCAATTGCTATACATCATTTAGATGGTAAAGAGACTTGACCCAGCATGATACACATCTCAGACCAGTCCAGTTGTAAATTCTATACACGTCATCTTCAACTGGTAATACACCATCTCTGTGTCCCAGAAATGTCTTACCTCTCTATTTTTCCCCCCAAAATACAGTTACGATATCATTCAAATGAAATGAAAAGATACCCCCCTGCTAAGGGAGCTAAGATGAACTAATCTCTAAAATTCAATGCGACTTGCCTTCATAGACAGCTGCGAAGCCTTTTCCTACCCAGTTACTGCTGCTACGAAACTCAATCCACATTCTGCTATCTGTTGAGGTAAGAACGTCAGGCACTTTGTCCCCACAAAATCTACCTAAAAGGAATAAAAAAATACAAAGAGACTCCTAAGTACAACTAGATATTCTAACAGCTTTCCAACACAAGTTGTAGATTCTATGTATACCCTAATGTGATTCTTCTCCCTATCCTTAGTAATTACAGTCACAACTATATCTTAATATTTACTTTATAAAGGTGAATAAAACAGTATTTTCATACCTAGTTTTTTTTCAAACTGTGTATCCATAGGTAAGTATAACGGCACATGAATATAATACCATTCACTCCTTCCTTTCCATAAATATTCGGTGCTTACTGTATGTCTGCTTTTCTGCTCTAAGCTTTCACATGATGATGAAATGGTTAAATAAGACAACATCCATTATTAAATAACTCTACGAACGCACTGCACTACATTCTTATCTATTTGTGCATGCCTCTGGAAATGACATCCTACATAGCCTTGGTATCTGAAAAATGGTAACCAACTTGATAAAGCAAATTCATACTAATGGCTAAACCATCTTCCTCAATTACAAAGTAAGTTAGAGGGACATACCACAGGACACTGCTTTGTACACTGAGATGGGCATGCAAACTGCCAGAAAATATGTTAAAATGCAGTCAGTAATTCAGAGGATTGGGACCTAAGTTATCAGTATTAACAGCTAGCAGGGGGATTCTGATGCTGCCAACCTGAGGGCTATGATTATTGGAGCAAGGTCTTAGAAGAATGTGTGGGGTGAGCAGGGTGGTAGCACAGTGGAAGCAAGTGGACCGACATGAGCAGGGCCCAGGTTTGTGTCCTGAGGTCTCCCTGTGCACACAGGGCTGACATGTATGTCCATGTATGTGCTGGCTGGGACTGGGGTGCAACATGGCATGAGAGATGCTCCCCACTCTGGGAAATAAAGAAAATAGACAAACAAAAAGTAAGTGAGGGAAGGGACCAGCAGTTAGCGTAATGGCTATGTCGCTGGACTCCCACGTAGTCGACCGCGGTTCAAGTCCCGGACCCGGCGGCTTAAACTCACGCCGGGCGCGTGTGCGTGCGTGCCCAAGATCCCGAGAGGAGAATGGAGGAGAAGGGATTGTGGCGTGGCCATCCCCACTTGGGGGAGATTTCTAGCTTTCTGTCTCTCTGTCTCTCTCTGTCTGTCTGGCGAGCACATGCGCCCTATAGCAAAAACCTCTCAAAAAAAAAAAAAAAAGTAAGTGAGGGAAGAGTTTTTTATGAAAACCGTAATAGCACAACGTCAGTCCAGGAGACCATGAGGCAATGAACTGTATCATGCTGATCATGTGTTCCAAAACTTCAGCTTTAGATTTGATTCTCTACTGTGAATGTTATGAGATGTTCTCTTTAGCACGCATATACCTATAGAACAAATTGTTTCTCTAAGCTAAGAAACTAAAGGTAGAAAACAATGCTCTCTTGGATCTGAGTTATCTCATCACTTCAATCTTCCTTTTTCCTTCTTTTAAAATAATTCTGTGGATCTCTTGGGCTTACTGAGGTTGCTGTCACTTTTAGAGCAGTCGTGTCTATTCAGCAGGTTTTGGCTGTTAAGCCAAAGAAGATGTGCATAGCACATAAACACAACTGAGCAAAGCTACTTCTAAAAATAAAGGAAAAGTCACAATTTAAAAAAAAAAAATCAATACAGAGTAGAGGCTTCCATGCTCACAACAGCTCTCACATTTAAGTAAAACAGAGGGCAAAAGTAAACTGCTTTCATGCAAGTGAATAGTGTGGCCTCTGGGTAAATGTTGGCAGTAGACTTTCATGAGCCCCCAATCTGACCTACACTTTATGATACAAACTATAAATGTCTCTTCTCAGCTGCAAAAATGGTCTGAGAAGGAAAACTGTGATGTCTATAGTAGAAATGACATACCTGGCCTAGGACACCTGGTACCACACATGGACCTAGCAGCTCACACTCTACTGTTGAAACAGTGAAATGAAACAAACCACAGACATACACACGGATATACACGACTTCTGTTGTGTCATCAAAATTATGATTCTTTTTGCTTATTTGTTTGTTTTCCTTTTGTTTTTAGAGATTTTTGCTACAGAGGGTGTGCTCTTGGTGGAAAGACAGGGAGAGACAGAGACAGAAAGTGAGAAATCATCCCCTGGAGGGATGGCCACACTGCAATCCCTTCTCCTCCATTCTTCTCTTGGGATTTGAGACACACATACACATATGCCTGGTGTGAATTTCAAACCACCGTGTTTGGGATTCAAACCTGGTCAGCCACATAGGAGTCCAGTGCATTAACCATTATGCAACCTGCTGGTCCCCAAAATTATGATTCTTAAATTGAAAATCCAAAAGCATGTGAAAAATAATCAGGATAAGCATAATATATGTGAACACTAGTCTCACTCATTTTAGATGCTAGTATCTACCCCATAATATAGGCACATTTACATTGACTGATCTGTCATCCATCTACCTGTCTTTGAGGTTTTTATGGTATATGAATGAAAAAGGTATAATAAAAATGAAAATTTTGATCACAAACATTTTAAAATATGGATGACTCTTGAAAGAATCTATTGCTTTTAGAAAGGATAGAACATAGATACAGCTACATGAAAGCTAAATAATCTCTTACCAAGGAGAGGTGATTTCCTCCAATACCCATCTCTTACTTCAATGTAGTCATACCAGCACAAACTACTCTTGTATAGGTCCATTGTGGTAAAATTTAAAACAATCTGCAAAATGAAAGAAAATAACACAGAGTGAAGATGACTGTAACTATACACTGATTTGATTCCTACAGATAAGGAGCCCAGCACTACATTGAAATGGATATTCATGCGAGCGGGCAGGTAGCGTGCCTGGACTCCAACATGGCTGACCGTGGTTTGAATCCCAGACCTGGAGATTTGCTTTCTCACATTCTCTCTCTCTGTCTCTTGCTTTCTCTCTCTCTCACTCTGTCCCTCTCTGGTCAAATTGAAAATAAATAAAGATAACAGTCATGACTGATTTCTTGTATTAGTATCACCTTACCAGTTGTCTCAAACACTTTGAAATCACATTTCCTTATTCCTACTAATGTTTAACAGTGTTACAAGATACTCTACAATAGCTTAACAAACAAAACCTTTTAGCCATTAACTCAAAGTCTGTATAGTTTGAGCAATTATAAAAACAAACAGATAATCATTCAAATAGTTTATTTTGAATTTTCCTAAGATAAATATAGTTTAAACCATGAATAATCCTGATTTGCTATGAATATATTTTTTAATAATCTATTTCAAAGACAGCCAGTTAGACATCGACAATGATGTTGAACATAACCACCATGTGCCATATTCCCAGAACATAATATCACTGTGTATGTTGAAATGTTTTAAATACAGCCCTAAAATTTGAGTTTATCCAACTAACTATAATCAAAGGCAGATGTCACCAGGCTTCTCTGGATCCCAGCAGATATATTCAAAGACTTGACGAATTGGAATTATCTTATACATGACTATTCTCTATTTTGTTTTGAATTATGCTGCTTATTGTAAAGATAATTTAAGATTAATTCTAAGAAAGACAATTTTATAAAAAGACTTTACTTTTTCAAATAATTCACTTTTTTACTTGATTGCACTCCTAAAAGGAGAACCAAACTCACATGAGAAACGTACTTGTTTGATGAAGCAAAATTCATTTTGAAAGTGTACCTTTGTATTCAAAACTCAGTTTAACTCGAGTTCACTAGAACATCTTAGATGCATAGGGATGAGAGTGAATCTGTTTTTTAAACAGAAATAGGCATTGACCAAATATAAGAAATTAGGAGCATTTCAGGTGTTTCAGGCCTGTCGTTGGGGCAGTGGTTAAAGCAGCTAGATCTCACAAGCTGATTGTGCAGTTTGATCCCCAGTGTATTTAAAAGCACTGCAGCTGTGTGCACACGAGCTCAAAACCCCAAAGAGAGAAATGGAGAAGGGATTGTGACGGCGTGACCAGCCCCCAGGGAGGGTGCTTTCTTACCCTTTCCTCTACCAATCCTTCCTAACACACATGATCTCTGGCGAATTAAAAGAAACACCTATTCTCTCTATACATTTCATCCTGCCTTTTCAACACTGGCCTGGTCTTTCATTGTGGGTCCTCTGCTTACCTATGTTCACCTTCTAACTGGACTGGGATATGCAGCATGGTCTACCTCTCTTTACTACTTTAAAACTCTTTCCTCCAACCTTTGACAAAGCCTAGATGAAATATTCCAAAGTCTCTTAGAGTCAAGGCCAAGTAGACTCTATGGCCACAGTAACTTGTTAAACCAAAGAGGTCTAGACCTTCTCACAGTAGAAGAAGGGAGTCTCTGTCTCTTTATGAAAGAAAAATCCTATTTCTAATCTTTCCCTGGTTGTCCCCACTGTAATTCTTAGTTTCTGCAGGACTTCCACTTCAGGAAATACTAAACTTCCACTTCAGGAAATACTAAACATTTGAGACACCATCCAACAATTGACTCAAAACAGGCTAAAAACATCTTGCTGCTCCAGAGGATACAATATTCACACCTGCCTCTAGAGGGCCCACTCCCTGTCAATTATGCTAAAGGAAAACAAATGCCCCTTCTCACTTGAAGCAGCTCCAGAAGACTGACCATCAACCATAATCCCTTGTCCCATTCTCACTCCTTTTTTTTTTTTTTTCTCATAAAAGATAAAGGCAGGGAAATGTTACATTAGTCCCTGAATGGCCTTTAGGTAATTTCTCATCAGAATATACGGAGATGGTTGCAGCAATATTTAGCCAGAATCTTCCTGCCAGAGCCCTCCCTTACTGGCAGCCAGCACCCATAAATTTGTTGATACGGTCACAGTGACAAGTAAACTAACCAAAGTACCCGCCATTCTTGTGACCCTGCCCTTCCACTACTCCCATACAAATACATCATGTTTCCTCCATACAAGTGGGCTGAAACACCTTAGGTTTCAGAACCCCAAGTGCTCTTTCTATCAATGAACTTTTCTTTTTCTCTTAAAAAAAAATAATAAAAATTTTAAAATGCTTCTACTATAAAGCTATAGTCTATAACAATATTCAAGAAACTTTTTGGTGACACTAAGAAAAGTTGAATTTAAGAGAACGCACAAGGAATAACAAAAAAGATAGAGTGGGGGGGAGTAGAGGAACAGGGACAGAGAAAATATAATTGATCAACCCTGATTCCAGAGTCCAGAAAAGTATTGCCTAGTCTATGCTAAAAAATACACACTACTCCCCTTTCTTGAGCAAAATATTTAAGAGAAAAATAAGTACTAACAGTGCAAAATCAATACTGAACTTGCTTATTCCTTCTCAGAATGAAAGTACAAAATATCACTTAAAATATTTCTCATGGCCCTTTATATGAAGGCATCACAGTGATGATGAAACTGCTCAGCAAAGTCAATTTCAGTGGTCCATAACAGATTAGCATGTACTTTCTTGATTACAATGAGATAAAAACTTACCAGAGATAATAGAGACTATGTTTAAGGTAATACAGGATTGTGGGCATAATTTGGTTTTGTTTAATAGAATCACTCATTTATTTTTGTCTTCTTGTTGCTTTTCTCTTTTTCCTCACTTTTCTTTTTCTTCCCTTAATTTTGTTTTAAACTTTCAAAAATTGTTTATAAAAATTTCCCAAATATCCAAGGGCAAAGCACTGATGGTTCTTTTTTTTTTCTTTTTTAATAATACTCAACACTTTAAATCAAAATGCTTTAGTTTCTAAATTATTTTTATGAAGTTCTCAAAACATTTCTCTGAATACCAGCGAAACATTAGATTATTTTTAGAATATCATGGCAAAACTGCAGGCTTTCTTCTTAACTTTGAGTTTACCGGAAGCATGCTATTAATACAAATGGAGATTACTACCATTGCTTGATATAGTTTCATTCTGCATATATACGGTTGTCGGAAAAGTCATGATGCAATTCTGCATAGAAAAATACATCATGACTTTCGTGACGACCTAATAAATTCTCTCTGTAGCAACCACCAGAGATTTAACTCTACATGATCATATAAGAACACTATTAAAGCAGTGAGCAAAACTAGATTACAGACACAGAGAACCCAATGCTCAATTTGTGGCTTCCCTCTTGGATTTAAAGCAAGATGTTATAATAGTGAGCAAACAGTTTTTATTTCCTCCTTGATGAGGAAAATAATTGACTAAATGAGAAGTATGCATATCATTAAATTTCATCTCAAATCAAAAGCAATGTGGATGTTAACAAATAGTTAATAAGTGAAGTCTTGGAACACACGTGCACATACACACACACACACACACACACACACACACACACAGTTGGAAGGTGGGTAACTATAAGCAGAGAAATTTCCTATCTTGTTTTTAATCTTTTAGTTTAAATGCCAAGCACCGTGGAGGAACAAAACTGGCCTGATGTTAATATAAAACACGAAGTCCTTTAGAAGCAGAAAATGTAATAAAGATAGGTTTTCTAAAATCAAATCTTAGGGCTCTGACTATAGAAACGAAATTCTGGCCTTTGATTATGGTTGCCAGAAGAATCTATACTTAAATTACAAATCAAAAGCACTTGGAAAATGTCTGGTTGTTTTATATTATGCTATTTTATGTAAACATATTGCATCCCAAGTATGATAAAATGAAAACTACATAACAACATAACACAATTATATAAATATTTTATTTCCAATGGCATAGCTCCCTTGGAATGTGAGATTAAGGAAGATCCAAGGAACATTCTAAGAGTTCCTGAGATCTGTTAGGAATCCATTGCAAAATTAAAGTGATGCAATAGCTGTCAAGTTAGCTTATTACAACCTTTGTTTTACAATGCTGCAGAGTGAAGAATCCTGAAGAAAGACAGATCAACAGTTCAAGGGACTGGATGTCTGAAAGTCTCTAGAGAAAGATATAATTAATGAACTTTTGTCAGCACAATTAAGCCATTATTAGCTACCTAAATAAATTCCATAGACCCCCCCAAAAGAGGCTAATTAGAATGACATTTCCACCTTATAGTACAGAGGATAAGAAAGACACAAATCTTACCAATTAGACTGATACTATTAAGAGGCCCTTTAGAAAGAGATATCAGAATTGACAGCAGCAAGATAAAATACATTACTGGGGATCCAGTCAGAACAATTCTGAACAAGGCTAATAAACTTTCTAGAGTTACTATAGGTTTATTCTCAGAAATATGCCAAAAGGGAACATTTCTCAACAAAATAAAATGCATGTATGACAGATTCATTGCTAATATTATACTGAATAGAAAAAGCTTTCAGCTTTTCCAATGAAAACTGAACCAAGACAAGGCTATCCACTTTCTACATTCCTTTGCAACATAGTTCTGGAAGTTCTAGCCAATGCAATCAGACAAGAGAAAAATTAAAGATATACAGATAGGAAAAGAAGAAGCTAAATGGTTCCTATTCATAGATGAAATGATTATAAACATACAAAATCCAAAGGAATTTGCAAAAAAAATCCTAGAAGTGATAAATGAATTCAGTAAAGTAGCAGGATACAAAATCAATATACAAAACTAAATACCACTTTTAAACACCAACAATGAACAGACTGAGACAGAATCAAAGAAAGCAATCTTATTTACAATAGCCACAAAACAAATAAGATACCTAAGAATAAACCTAACCTATATAAAGACATAATGTGTTCTTGGTTTGGAAGAATCCATATAAT